GGGTAAGGTAAGGGTCTACTTTCATTTTTTTGCATGTGGCTATCCAGTTTTCCCAACACCATTTGTTGAAGAGACTTTCTTTTCCCCATTGTATATTCTTGGATCCTTTGTCAAAGATTAGCTGTCCATAGATGTGTGGGTTTATTTCTGGGCTTTCGATTCTATTCCATTGATCTGTGTGTCTGTTTTTGTAAAGCAGTATATTTGAATATTATGAAGCCTTTTAAAATAATGTTTGAAAGGAGTTATGAGATGTAAAATGCTTATGACATACTATTAAGTGACAAAAAGCAAAAGACACAAATTGTACATAGAATGTAACTGTATAAAATATCCATGAGGTATAAATATCTGTGAATGCAATGAGACTATTTATCATTTTTACCTTTTTGCATTTGCTAAATTTTCTACAATGACTGTATGTTATATTTTTATAGCATATTTTTTCTTTTTTTTTTTTGGTGAGGAAGATTGTCCCTGAGCTAACATCCATGCCAATCTTCCTCCATTTTGTATGTGGGACACCGCCCAGCATGGCTTGATGAGTGGTATGTAGATCCATGCCTGGGATCCAAACCCACAAACCCCAGGCCACCGAAGCAGAGCACGCAAACTTAACCACTACCACTGAGCCAGCCTCTACGGCAATTTCATTGAGATAATTTACATACCATACAATTCACCTGTTTAAAGTGTACAATTCAATAGTTTCTAGTATATTCACAGTGTGTGCAACTGCATGTATTGTTTTTATAACCAAAAAAGTTAAATAGATCTGTGGTTTATAGATGCTCTCTACAAATACATTGTTTTCCTTTATGTAAATAGATATGTATTTAACTGCAATGAGGAATCACTTTCAAAAATGCCAACCAAAATGTGCTCCAAGTAGCTCAGTCAAAATAAATGACAAGCAGCATGGTTCCCTTTTCTAAGGCTAGTTACTCTAATATATTTTTAAATGCGGTTCAAAGAAAAAAGAGAAATTTGATCACAGTCTTTACCTTTACAGTGCTTGTGGTCTGGAGTCGGGGCATAGCCCTTGTGGCACGAACACATGTAGGAGCCTTCAAGGTTGGAGCAAGTACCATTTGTGCAGACCTTTGGTTCCAGGCATTCATCCACATCTTGAAGAATGTTGCATAATGGAAAGGAAAAAAACCAAAAACAAAGACGAAGAGAGAAAAAAGAAAACACGAATAATGTTGAATTTGTTTAGAAATGGAAATAATTAATAATAATTGATAATAATAATAACAATTGATCTTCAAAAGAGGGGCAGATTCTTTAAGATAAGCTTTCAAATCAGCCCTTAAGAAGAAAAGCAGCTCTGATGTGAGCTGCATGTATGATGGTTCTATGCCTTAATTTATTTTCTGCAAAGTAACTCAAAAAAGGAACCAAACATGCTCTAGGAATAAATTCAGTGGAAGGCTTGCTATAGGGAGGAGGGAGAAAGTGAGGTGGTCTTAGAACAATATCCCCTACAAAATAAAATATTCCAAAGAATCAAAGATGTATTGAGGTCTACTTAGAGAATTGATGAGTTCAGTTGGATGTAAGGGTTCGCAGAAGCAACAGATATGACTCCTGACCCAGCGAAACCACAAGAACAGTTGTAACAGAAAGGCAAGAAAAAACTCTGATAAAATGTTCTAGGATGGCATTGAATCAGTATGATAAAAACCAATCTAGGGGCCAGCCCCATGGCCTAGTGGTTAAGTTCAGCGTGTTCCACTTCAGTGGCCCAGGGTTCAGTTCCTGGCCACGGAGCAGACCTACACCACTCGTCGGTGGCCATGCTGTGGTGGCAACCCACATACAAAATAGAGGAAGACTGGCACAGATGTTAGCTCAGGGAAAATCTTCCTCAGCAAAAAAAACAACCAATCTCGGGGACAAACATAAGCCTATTTATTGGATGGTTTGAAGGTAGGGTATAGGCTGAGGAGGAAGATAAAATAATAGCTAATCTTTATTAAACACTTACTCCATGCAGGCACTAATGGCTTTACATATATTATTTTATTTAATCCTACCAAAACCCATACAAGCTAACTGTTTTTACACAGGAGGAAACTGAGACTTAGAGATGTTTAATAGTCTGCCCAAGGCCACACAGTTAGACGATGGTGGCTCAAATTTGTATCCAGTCAGCCTAATTCCAAAGACCATCCTTTTAACCTGACTATAAGTTTCTGTCATAGGCAAAGTTATGTCTAGTGAAAAAACCAGTTAAAGAGAGAATGTATGTGTTTATGTTTGTTTTTATTATTTGCTAACAGCATTTATATCGAAAAAATCCTCTAGGTGTTCATTATTTTCATTCAACAAACATTCATTAAAGATCCTACTAGAATTGCGTTAATTCAAAAAGAAAAATTTGAGTTCTGTGCTCCATTTGAATGCCCTTGGGTAAGTTCACTGTATGCTGCAGTGGGAAGACACATAATGTAGCATGAATAACTAAAAACTTAAAGAGGAGACACTTAAACCACAAAGTGCTAAAAATGGACACACACCATCCCAATTTAGGCTTAATTTTATAGCGGTCTGTAACTTAAAGCATCTTAATCAGAAGGCAGACAAACAATAAGGAGGAAAAGGCTCTTGATTGCATCCACTTCATTTTACAATGCCCACCACAAAGCAATACAGCTTCCCCCTCTCTTAATATTAACAAGCACGTGAACACATAAACTACACAGATCTAGTTTTAGATCAGCAATCTAGAGTTTAGATTGCATTCATCTGCATTGCATTTCCCTAAAACTGTATTTACCTTTCTTACAATGGAATTCAGAAACAGAGTATTACCAAAATGAGGCAAAGGGTGTGTGTGTGTGTGCGCGTGTGCGTGCACACGCATGTGCATTCCATATGCATACTGAGAACAGCCAAGCAATTAGCACTGCCTAGGTGTTCTACCTTGCTTTCACAAAATCACTAATTATGGTGAACCAACCCACTCCATGACAACAAAAATAGCACTTCCAGACTGACTCATTATCCATCCTTTCTTTGGTTGTGGGAGTCCACTTCTGTAAACATTGAAAGCAAACAACTTGAAAGAGGAAGCCAAACATCGAAGCCAAAGTAAATAATGAGATAGAATGAACCTAGACACTAGGCATGGAAATTCCAGACAGCAATGTTAAAATGTCATGTCTAGTATCTGGTTTGGTTTCAAAAATGTTAACAAGTTGAAAAATGTATGGATTGTTCTCCTTAATTATTCACGCACCAGGGAAAGTGATTTATAGGGGCTGCAGAATGTAACAGCAAAATCCATTTCTAAGACCATATTTTCTCTAGTTAAAGTAAATTAACAGGCATTGCAGATTACCATTCATGAGATACTTATAAAACTTCTAGTTTGCCAGGCTACTACCATAATGAACAATAAAGCAGAATGCCCTGAAATATCTAGGGTAGCCTGATGTGTTTACCCTTTCCTTTATTATTACAGACATAATTGCATGGAACCAGAATCCTGTCAAGTCACTTATTTATATGTAAGTAGAACTGTTGGAATCAAATGAATACTTAATGGAGCTTATGTTCTTAAGGAAATAACTGTATAGTAAAATATCACTAAAGACCTCTATATGAGGTCAAAAGTTACAAACTTACAGCTATAAGTAAGTCATGGGGATGTAATGTACAGCATGGTGACTACAGTCAATAATACTGTGCTGCATATTCGAAACTTGCTAAGAAAGTGGCTTATTTATTTATTTATTTATTTATTTTTGCTGAGGAAGAGTTGCCCTGAGCTAACATCTGTCACCAATCTTCCTCTTTTGCTTGAGGAAGATCTGCCCTGAGCTAACATCTGTGCCAATCTTCCTCTGTTTCGTACGTGGGTCACCACCACAGCACAGCTGATGAGTGGTGTAGGTCCGCGCCCGGGACCTGAACCTGCAAACTCGGGCCGCCAAAGCAGAGTGCACTGAACTTAACCACTAGGCCATAGGGCTGGCCCAAGAGTGGATCTTAAAAGTCTTCATCACAAGACAAAAAAGAAAAAAAAATTTGTAACTATATATAGTGACGGATGTTAACTAGACATTGTGGTGATCATTTCACAATATATACAAATTTCGAATTGTTATGTTGTGCACATGAAACTCATAATGTTATATGTCAATTATACCTCAATAAAAAAAAATCTCTATATAGAAGAAAGGTATCTAGAGCAGGGCCTCTAGATGTAAAAGGAGGGAAACAAACTCAATGTTTTATCTTTAGCCCAGACCTGTCACCTAAACTGCAGATCCCTGCATCTAATTGGTCAGTCCACTGGACATCTCCACTTGACGTCCTCTAGGCACCTCTAAGAAGGTGCCAAACTGGCCAAACTGATCTTTCCTCGTGCCTTCTTTTTATGCTGTCTCCCACGTCAATACGTGGTACCACCACCCACTCAAATGTCCAGTTCAGAAACTTGGGAGTCATTCTTTCTGGATTCCTTACTCTCCCTCTTTCCCCACATTCACTTTATTACCAACGCATATCAATTCTACCTTCCAAATATCTCTCAAATACACCCACTGTATTTCATTCCTATTACTACCAGCCTCTCTCACATGGGTTACTGCCACAGTCTTTTAAGTTGTTTCTCTACTTCACATCCTGCCCTCTCTAATCCATTACCCAGCTTGCAGCCAGAATAATCTTTCAAAACGACAAATCCAATCAAAGGTGTGGCTCCTCTGCCTTAAAAAGCTTCAATGGTTTCCAGCATTTTTCAATTTAGTCGAGGGCACAAACTGGTGGGGCCCAGAGTGGTATTAACAGGAAGCCTGGCCCCCACTATCCTTACTTCCAACCATTGGGAGGGTCAGTGTCATGGGAAGCAAGGTGGTCCCTACCCACCCCACCATCCATCACCCAGAGCCCCTTACCCTTTCAGCAGAGGAAGATGGTTATGCCTTTTCCATATTGGAGCTCAAACCTCATCTTACTCCAGGATTATAGTTTCACAGAAGAGTCATATTACCCAAATTCTTACAATGCACATACATAATGAATTCAAAATGGAAACATCATGAAAAATACTGTGTCCATAGAAAAATGGGTTCCAAACTCAAAAAAAACAAAAACAAAAAACAATTTACCAATAGCCTTTTAGGACATAACGTGACATTCGCCATTTGGTGAATTAAACCTCCCACAGTAAGGAAGTTGCCAATGGTTTACAAGGACAGCACTTTGTGGATATGATAGTCCAAAAGTTTACAAATCCACCTCCCTATACTATCACCCAATCCAAATCGATCCTTCTCAACTACAATACCCCGAGAGACTCTAACAAATGCCTTGTTGAAAACTAGATATGCCATGCCTGTAGGATTTCCTGATCCACTACTCTAACAGCCCTATCAGAGAGGCAGTCAGGACAGTCTGGCATGATTTGTCCCTAATGAACTTTGGCTGATTCTTATGATCATCACTTCCTTTTAAAAATGTTTCACCTCATCATTCAAACCCTGCAGTCTACAGTTCTTTGTCAAGATCAACATGAAGTTCAGCGGTCATTAGTTTCCAAATTTCACCTTCTTTCTTCTTTGGGGGGAAATGAGGACATTAATCTCTCTCCTTTCTGCTTTCTGGCAACTTGCCGTTCTCCACAATTTCACAAAGATGACTCCCAGCTGGTCAGCAATCCCACCTGCAAATTCTCTCATTGCCTTGGGATATAATTCATCTGGGTTGGGAACCGTTTTGAAATTTCCCTTCCTAATATCCTGGGAACACACCAGATTGCCTGAAGCCCCTCCCTGGGCATGACCTCTACCATACAGAGGGTATTCAGCGGCAGACTTCACACAAGTCAGCCCAAGGCTGTGCTGCCCACTTCCACTTCACGTCTGCCCAAGGTTGTGCTGCCCACTTCCACTTCACGTCTGCCCAAGGTTGTGCTACCCGCTTCCACTTCACCTATCAGCTCCTTGGGGTTGGTCAGAATTGGTTCCAGAGCAACAGTTTACCTGCATTACTTCCTATACTTTCAAGGAGAGGAATCTGTCAACACTGTAAACCAGTCATTTTTCTGAGGCCATTCAGCCTCATGTAATTCCTTAGTCACCAACATAGACTTCAATGAGTGAGCACCATTTGATAG